AGTAACCGACATCTCTGACGTCGGTCCATATAAAGAAGAACATTTCTACTGAAATACATGGAAAGGGTTTGCCAAAGTTGATGACAGTTAAGAACTTACATCTATTCCTGTCTGCGCGGCATTTGAAATGCACTTACAAATCGGTGTTTATTTGCTCAAATGAGATCATCCCGACATTGAGTCTTACGACGGTTGATCAACTAATTCCATAAGGCTGGATTTTTCACAGCAGTGAGCAAATAACAACAACAACAACGAAAAAAACATTAGGAGTAACAACAGTAGTAACGAAACATCATCAATTACAAAATCGACAAAAAAGTTTGAGGACTTCTTGCGCTCAACAAACAATGAACCCTCCGGCGCCAGGAAACAGATGGAAAATTTGGGAAAACATCACTATGAACCGGTAAAAGGGTGAACAGAGCAAAGGTAAAAAGGGCTTCTCTTGAAAACAGTATCTGACAAATCAGTTTCACGAATACGACAGGAAATGTCTACACTCCAGGAAAGTCGAGTGCTAAAGTATAAACATTATCAATCACTTACCGCCACATTCTGTGAGAGCCAAGGGGTTAGTTAAAATCACCAAAGAGAAAGAAATAATTTTCAAGAACGAAAGAGTAAACTTACATTTGCTTGAGCACTGTCAGATTCGAGAAGGCGTCCTCTTCTATAGAGTCCAAATGGTTTCCAGAGAGATCTCTGAGAAGGTATGTAATTGCTGATTTAAAATTAATCTCCAAATGCACTAGCAATTAGCGATTGTCTACGACTGCCTCTGTTTAATCTGTATTTTGTATATACTTTGTAAGTTTCTTATCTTCTTTGATAAAACAGTCCACTTTTCTGCGAGTATGAAGGCCTGGTACCACTGCGGGAAAAACCTTAAGGAAATTTTTCTTTACTTTGAAAACTTTAGTTCGTCGGCAGTGTCAATGCAAAAGCAAACAGTTGCTAATTTGAAAGAGTAAGAAGATTAAATAGCGATAGTATGCATTATTATTGCGGTTCTCTTTTGTGCTTTTCATGAGCGAATATCATCATTGCCTATACTCGGGACACTGATTTCCGCAATTTCTCGGCTACCGACGCTCGTTTCAGTTTTCTTAAATTATCTAGAATAAAGAATCAAGTCTGGAAAATAAAAAAATAAAAAAATAGAAAAAAGGAGCAGGTTTCTAAGTCCACTCTAAGTTATCTCTGGGCAAAATATGAAAGTTTTCAATTTTTCGACCTTGTGCCGCACATTTCGATTTTCACTTGGTCAACTCGATTATTCGCTCCTAAGACTTTTTCTAAGCGTAAAGTTCTCATTCTTTCTTAGCTTCTACTTATTTTGTTTTCTCGCATCTTTTGAAAATAGTTCGTATCCAGTAGTTCTACATCACACGACGGTTGATTGACAAATAATAATAATAATAATA